TGACATTGAACCTCCATTGCACATAACAGTGTTAAGTCTGATCATTAGAGTTTTGAATAAAAACAAGTTAATAAAAAATACTGCTTACATTATTTGTATTTCATCAAAATGTGACATTATTGGTAGGGGGTGAATACTTTTGCAAGGCATTGTTGGCCCATGAACATGTAAGAAAATACAACATAGTCATGTAAGGGAACATAGTGAGGTAAAAGGCTAAAAGATGCAGATGAAAAGTTGGAATCAAATTGCAAAACAATATTACTAATATTGGAGTTTAAGACATGTTACTAAACAAAACAGTAATTATATCCTTAGAAAGTTATAAAAAAAATTTTCACTGTTTTTTTATTAATTCTGATAAAAGAGTTAGCAAACAGAATCACACACAAAAGGTACAATGAATTAAAAAAAACAAAAAACTCGAGCACTATTGAATAGTTGACTATTCTTCTTCAGGAGAATAATTACTAATTATTATCCTTTATTCTCCTGAATAATAGAAAACTATTCAAAAGCACTCAAGTTTTGGGTCTTTTTTTAATTCATTACTGTTTTTTATTGATATCCTTAATCATTAAGGATATTGTTCAGTGTTTACCAAAACAAATACGATGCACAAGATCATCTAAGCTATACAGAGGTGAATTAGAATAGTTGAGGTTTTTTACAGTTGTTTTTATCCATTAAAAACCTTATTATTACAAATATCTTTCTATTCTTGGTGAATGAGTCAAAGATTATAAATCAACATCATTAAAGCTATAATGAATTGTTTAATGATGAAATCAAGTTTATGTACAACACACTGTCAGTATATTTTTAATACTATAAAGAAAAATTGTATAGTTTACTATCTGTTTTATAATTATGAAATCAGATTTTTCACCTTTAGTACAAAAAACAAAAACATTTTCATACACTTTACTACAGGTTTCAGAGTTATAAACATATTTTGCATAACTTTATAGCATTAGCACTTTTACATACCAACTGTCTGCCTGTCCAGTCAAATTCTCCATCATCTATATAACCTTTTCGTTCGAAGAGATCTTGAAACAGTTTTCGAAGGTAATCGTAGTCAGGAGTTTCAAAGAAATCAAGTCGTCTCACATATCTAAGATATGTGGCCAATTCCTCTGGTGGACGAAAAATTAAATGCAGCTATTCAACAGTCTAGGACAGTGGTGCCAATTTCTTTTTATTTTAAAACATTTTATATTATCAAAATGAAATAAAAACAGCAAACAGCATAGGAAACACATGTGGATTACTGAAAATATATGGAACCCCATAATGTCTATAAAAAATACATCCTCTTTTTTCTATAAAAAAAATACAACAGTTTCAAATTTTTAGCAAATTATCATGATTGTAATTACCAGATTATAATTAGGCCTAACACTGTGCTTGATAATGCATTGTAGCATGTTTGTCGTCATCCGATGGAAATTTTTCTTTCATTTTAGAGCTTGAAATAAAAATTTATCTAGTAAGTGAAATTCCACAGTATAATATTTGATTCATAAAACCTGGTTATTCACTCAAAAAAAATTTCTACATATCATTATGTACATGTTCCTTAAATCAATACTCATATATATACACCTAATCACACAGTGTAACTGAAAAAAATATAAAAAATGATTTAATTTGCTTCATAAATTTTATTTAAATTTTGTAAATGTTACTATGAATCCAGATATTTCTAACAATCTCTAGTGGTGGTAGAATCAGATTCTGAACATTCCAAGCTGCATTAAACACAAACAGACATGGTTTGTTCTTTAGTAGCCATTTTCTGCCAACAACATTACAACAATCTATGTGCAAACTTGTCAGTACTTTTTGTACAGTACCCATAAGATACTTAACACATTTTTTAAGAAGGATTTGGAGGTTTCAAATTACATACTATATTCTTTCTTTTCTCCATAAAAAATAATTACCTCATGCGTTTTTTCACTGTGATAAAATGCTAGACTATCAGAACAATTCATATTTTCACAAAACTACACATAATATCGCTAAAAACTAATGCTAGTAAAAGACCAAAAGTATTTTTTATGAATGACATCTCTGATGTTAAAACAAATTCAAGGGCACCTGTTTCAAGTATTTTTGTCTGTTAGCAACATTTGCATTAAACTGTCTTGTAAATGTTGACCCAAATTTCAAAATAAAATCACTAGAAAAAAAAATATCTTAGTTGTGGTCAGATTTAGTGATATAAACTAATAACAAACCGCTAAATGTGAAAATTACAGTTTAAATACCAAAAGACAGCTAAGTATTGGAAAAACCAATAGGACTAAAATTGTTATAAAAACAAGTTAATTGCAGATGTTACTTTCCACATTCCACTTAATTTTTCCATTGCGGCTCAAAATCAGTGTGTAAAAAAATAGCATTTGAGGTCAATCTTTTGTCTCACAAAAGTTGCTGCCTAATAATTTTTGTTCAATACCAGAACTCATCAGTTGGGCTGGACAATGAGAGATAAAAAATGGTTGTATGAAATGCTATTTATATATGCAAAAGAATACTAACATATGAAAATATCCAAGTTGAAACAAGGATTTTGATAAAAAAATTTCTTTATAACTTCATTGATTCAAGTATCACTTGATCATGATTGAACAGTATTTTTTGTTTATTTTCAAGTGCAAATTAACTTATTAATGAAACTTATAACACTGAAAGATTTAATTAAATACATTTTAAGAAACAGCATTCAAACAGCTGCACTTTTACATCTGTGAAAATAATTGACTAACAGAATAATCAACTATATACATACATATATAGCTTTTGTGAAAGACATTTTTTTAATAAACCCAAAGTCAAGAAGAAACATATTGCCTATGATATTTTTTTAGTGCACACAAATATTTAATTTAAGACATTTTAAATTGTAACTAGTAACACATACCTGGATACCCCTCACAAAGTATTTCAACAGATGTGGCTCTCTTGGTATCTCCTATTTTTTGGTACCGTTCCTTGAGTGTGTCTGCTTTCAACCCTTGCCAAGGTAAGCTGCCCCGAAGGAAATACATAAACATGTGGCCTAATGCTTCCAAGTCGTCTCGCCTACTCTGCTCTGAAAACAAAGTTGATTAAAAACAAGTTCTATAATCACAAAAGTATTTATAAGCTTTCATTCATTAGACTTAAAATTGCATAATTTTCTTTCATTTTGTTTATAATCAAAAGCATTTTACTATAAAACAACTGAACCAAGTGATATAAAAATATATACTAACAACAAACCTTTCCTTCATAGGCATGATCTATGGACATACTTTTCAAAAAATAATATATTTATAGCCATATTACAATAAAATCATAATATTAGAGAAGCTTCTTTACCCATGAAGAAATTCAAATTGAAAACGTACTAATATTCTACAACGAAAAGGTATTTTAAAACTGATGACAAGTGAATTTGAGCAATAACAATATGGCTTCTATTCTTGCCCAGTCCTGCCCTTCTACAGGTAAACTAATACATTATTTCTTTAATTGAATTAATAATGCACATTTTGTTTTAAAAACTGGTATAAGCATGTTTAAATTTAATTGCTTTAAGCCTTCATTTTCAAGGTAATTATTCAAATGGCAAGAAGCTTTATTAAATCAACCAATACACATATAGCTTTGAAATAATCATAAACTCAGATAATATATGTTTACACATGGTAAAATTATTAAGGTAAATAAGAAATTTAAGCCTACAAACTACACATTAACACTTTTTAAGGATAAAAAAAAATCTCTAAACATAAATAATAGATTTTTTTAAAGCACACACATACTAGCATGAAACACTAGAGAATTTTCTAAAAAAATCTTATAATGAAGGAAGACATGTTAGACCTAAAACCATTATATTGGAAGAAGACAGTTTAGGTCTCTGATATTTTATAACTAATCCACAATCTTTACATGTGTATAAATATTAGATTAGTGGAATTTTCTAATTCATTAATCATCAGGCTAATTAATCAACTGCATTCAACTAACTTATTATTCTGTGAGGTTATTCATCCTATTTTCAGCTTGTTTTAGTTGTTTCAATGACATTTTCAAACTAACCTTCATTTAACAGGATAGATATCTTCAGCTACAATAATTTAAGATTTTTTAATCATAAATTGTTGTACCTGAAAATGTGTAATGTAGTAAGAAACCTGTCAAAAGCAGAAAATATGATTAATACTATTTTATGGGTTTATCCTTACAAATGTACAGACACCAACTCTACTAAAAGTAAACAGAATAATTTTTCATTGAAAATAACTGTCCTTAGACTTTGTTTGATAACTGGAAACCCTAATTTTGATTACTTGATTGTTTTCATGAAAATCAATATAAGTGGAATTTCGAATAATCAATTGCTGGAATAATTGAAAAGAGTAATAACCAGAAAAATTAATTTTAATTAGTTGGTTACTTTCATGGCAATCAATATAATCAAAATTTTTATTAATCGATTGTTGGAATAATTCAAAACAGTGTTTATTGGAAACACTAATTTTGATTATTTAATAGTAACTTTGATTAATTGCTTAGTTTATGTGACATTAAACAATGTAATCACTTCTCACATAAAATTTATTAAATCAAGTGTTTTTTGTTGTTGTTTTGGTTTTTGGGGGGGGGGTCTCAGGATTTATTAGATTGATCCACATGAAAATAGGCATGTGCATATAGGGGACTGTACAAAATAAGTATCTACATTTACATTTTCCAAATGTTCATACTGTGGGCCACACTAGTGGGAGACCATGTAGGATTTGGGAGGGGGTTGCTTAGAATTAGCTGCACAGATGTATAAGAATGTGTAAATGATCATTTAATATAAGGTATGCAAATGTTTTGTTTAATTGTTGTTTCCTCTGAATTTTCATCGGTAATGCACTAGATATATTACGTATATTTCTAAAAATTTACATGTAGGTAACTTTTCTAATGTAATATGTTTAAGAAAAAAAGTAAATATTTGGTAGAATTTGAAGATAATCAACTGTAAACTTTACCTTTTCCTAGATGTGTGTTAATACTCATATATCTTGCTGTTCCTGTAAGGCTCTTGTGTTCCCGGTATGGGATGTGTTTGTTAGTCTCAGGGTCTATGTACTCTTTGGCTAGACCAAAGTCTATTATATGAATAACATTTTGTTTTTTGGTTGACTGTCTTCCAATTAGGAAATTTTCTGGTTTCACATCACGGTATATTAGATGTTTGGAATGAACATATTCTATCCGATGAAGCTGAAATGTTAAAAGAGGAATTAAGAACAAAAAATTCAGAAACTCGTTAGAATAAGAAGACATAAGAAATATTTAAGTGTATATATATTACATGTATTGTCAACAAAAAATATTCAATATATATCAATAATTACAGGTTTTTACAACTGTCAGGCCTAATGACCAGTAGAAATTCTTAATGTAAGCCCAACATTTAATAATTTGCCAATTTAAAAGGAAATTTTTATCTAAATATTTGTGTGCATTTTTAACTGATAGAAGAAAAATAAAAAAATGTACTGTAATACATCAATTCATGCTTTGAGCTGTAATCTTAAGTTCTATTACGGTTATGTTACATAACAGTTTATATCCGGGTATTTATTTTTTCTACTAATTCATAAATTCAATTCATACCATTCAGGATTTAACAGACTTAAGAAAATTTTAAGAATTATCATATGTGCATGAGCTAACCTTTTAAGCCTAGATGTAAACAGTTTTAGAGAAAAATCCACCAGTTAAGTACTTAAACTTATGTAAACAGTTTAATTTTTTACTGTTTTCTACAGAACATATATGTAAACTTATAAGTAACTAATGTAAAAAGAGCAAAGACAAACCAAAGAAAGCAAAAAACATTCTATGGCAGTACATTAATAAACTTGTTTTAGGCTAACACGAGTAATCAATAAACAACAAGTCATCACAAATCCTATAATCTTTGAGTTAGTATATTATTAATAGTAAAAAGTAATTACTTTAAAAAGAAAATTATGTAAAATACAAAACTGATGAAAATTATGGGAGTGAATATAATAGTTTTTCATACTTTCTGTTTTATCCAAAATACAATTAATTATTATATGTTGGAAAATAATATCATTTAAATACCTCAGCTCTCTCTTTCCAAACACAATGAAAGTTATTAAGACAAGTATTCTGATGTTTATTTCTGGTTTTTCACCAGGTTACTAAGATATTTCTTTTCTGATTATTATGATGAATGATGTCTTTCTTTCCTAAAAAAAATCTCCACTTCTTGAAGTTCAAAAACAATCAGCCTTCCCTCCATTGCACAAAGAATAATAAATACATGTACTAGGGCTCACTGCGTTGCTTGATCATTAGTCATTATCACTTTGTTTTGTGTTTTCTTTAGCTTTGAATGCCACAAGTTAAACCACGAAACTTTAAAAAAGGCTTCAGAAAAATAATGTTTTGACTTAAAAGTTCCTGCAAATATTTTTCAACCACAAAACAAGAGATTAATGACTAACAAAAATAGCATACCTATATGTTTAAGCAAAATCATAAATCCTTAAGGTTAAGCATTCAACAAAAACAGCTTGTGAAAGAGAGGTGTAATCTTTACAACATATGTCATTATGACACAAAAAAATTACATCAATTTGACGTATACATCTTTTTGTTGAAAGGCAAACTACTTAAGAAACACTTTCTGACCAATGTCTTAAGCAACAGAACAACACTATACATATTCAGTACGTAATATAACTTGATGGGAAAAACAATTTATAATACAGTCACATAAATAGTATTTCCTTGTATTCTGGAAGCACAGCACAAATTAGCAAAATATCCATAATATACATTAAGTTTTAATTTAATTAGCATGTACGATGTTTCAGCTTGCATTGATAAAGTATTAAGCAGGTCTTGTGTTTCTTTAGTTTGCTAGTGTGCTTGTTACTTTTATAGTAAAAACATGAAGAAACTTGCTCACCTCATTCAGTGGTATTTATATGGCAATAATGTCAGTTATACTCTTAGTCTGATGCCATCTGTGGTCACTTGAGAAAGTTCTAAGAAGTGTGTGAAATATCAAGTGATACTTTTAAACACTTACCAGTTGTACTGCAATCATTAAAACAGTCTTTAAACTAAATTTACGATCACAGAGATCAAAAAGGTCTTCAAGGCTGGGTCCCAAAAGTTCCATCACAAGAGCATTGTACTTCCCACAAGGCCCAAAATAGTATACTTTTGGTATTCCTTCTATAAGATATAAATGAAATAAAAAAACCTAAGTAGAAATATATAGTTATGTATAAAGATATATACAAATCATTTTGTTGCATTATCTCAAAATTTTGAAAGTTTATTTCATCTTTATTTTCTGATTAACATTAAATTGTTCTTGGGTCTTTTAGTTCAACTCTTATGATTCACCTAAGCAATAAGTTTCTAAAACATGTTTGCTCTAATCTTCTCTTTTATTCTTTTAATCACTGATTTGTTTATTTATAAAGTTTTTTTAACAAAAATAGCATTCAACATCAGATTTCAAAGATAAGAGAACTGAGCACATTTATTAATTTTGTACTTTACTGGTAAATACTTTTTCAATTTTAAAATTGTTTAATAATTCCTATGCCTCTGTATACAATGAATCTTTCATTTAAACAATATTCCATGATGATGTAATCATGCACCATAAAAATACATTACACAGTGTAAGTTGTTTTCTATATTATAAGCTATTCAACTTTAACTAATCAAAAATTCAGAATCGTTCTTTTTGTTTTTCTGTATAGACTAAATAAAAATTCTAAGCTTACTCTGATTCAATAGTGGTGTCTATACAGTTACAAGAGAACAGACATTTACAGCAATTAAGCAACAAACTTAAGTACATGTATATAAATAAATAAGACATAATTGCACACACAAAATGACAAGTTGAAAGAAACAGGAAAATAAAAACTGCCTTATCACAGTGATGTAATTAAAAATATATTACAAGTATGAATATTCTAAGAATAGATTAATTTAAAGATGTCAAAACTCTTTTTGCTTAATGATTTTGTTTTCATTATTACCAAGTGCAGTTGGAAGCAATACATAATAAATAAGGTGAAAATTAACATGAATAAATAAACACCTATCTCGAGTGTACTTGTAATGTTTTTGGAATATCTTACTCATTTACAAAGATATCTCAATAAAAATGGACAAGCTGATCTATCTTCTGACACATTCCAAAAACACTGTAAGTACACCGTGGTCAGTTGTATGATGTCACCTTAAGGTTGATGTAATAGCTTTAAAAAATGTTTGAGTTACGTTTTACTTCTGAATTTAAATATATTTTGTTTATTATATTTCAACTATACACTACTGGCTACGTAAAACACACACGTTTGCCATTTACTTTCAATCACATAGCTTTTTAGTAATGTATATATATCAACTTTTTTTTTGAAAATCATTTTAGGCAAAAATTAATACTCAAAAGTACATGAAAGAACTGTTTCTGCAATTTCCAAGGTTACTGGAACATTGTCTTAGAAATCTAAATTTAACACATATCTATCATAAAATTCTGAAAAATCTTTATCATTTGATAATCTTAATGGTTAATAATGCAATCATAAGAACACGGAATTACTAATAACAGACTTGTATAACCTTTGCTTAGTAAAGATTTAAAAAATTAACAAACATGTAAACTTGATTTTGCAAGTACACCAAAGAAGTCAGAAATACCTTGTTTTAACTGTACCATTTTTGAACTTTTAGATCTTACAATAAGCCACTGATGCAAGCTTTCCACCTTATTACAGGATTGTGTATTTTATAAATATTAACATTCAAATGATCAAACAACTTACCATGATTTCCAAGAAGCTTGTAAAACCTATACTCTAAGTGAAGTTGGGGAGCTTTGGATTTCATGGGTTCCTGGAATGGGAATAGAAAATATTTAAAACTTCAGAAACTATATAATATTATAAATATTTATTTTCTTAATCACAGTAAATTATCTTGCATGACATATGTCTTGATACTTTTTTTGATAAAGTACTACTACTTTTACATTAACTTTCAAATTATCTACGTACAAGTAATGTTTTAGTCCTACTGTACTTTTTATGCATACAATAAATGTACTTATGGATTATTAAATAACTGTGAAACAGGATTCTCAGCACTTCTTCATTGAGAAAAATCAAGAGTAATATTTACAAAATAAATGAAAAATTGGGAATTTAAAAACCTGCAAACAGGGATCCTAAAAAAGTCGGGACACAAGACTGGAGATACTGTAGACATTACTTACTCAAACTACAAACCCCTATTTTTGGCTCCATGCTGTTACCTAGAATTAAATTTAGTGGAATCAAAATAGGGATTTGTAGTTTCAGTAGATAATGTCTGCAATATCTCTAGCCTTGTTTCCATACTTTTTTTATGATCCCTATTTGCAGGTTTTTAAAGTTATAATTTTCCTCTACTGAAAATGTATTTCCGATAGTTACTACTAGTTGCTACTATTGCTTAAGAGATGATGCATGTGAGACATGTTGGAATTACTAATTCCAACAAGGGAGGAGTGCAAGGCTTGTGGCATGCATAAAGAAATGTTTGCATATAGAGGGCAGCAATGAATGAGAATAGCTAATCTTGTGAAAATAGGTAAGTACCATATTGGAATTCCCTATTTTTTATTTATCTTGTTTGCTGAATATTTAATGCTAAACTATGGGCAAAGGATTACATGATGAGTTAGTTAACTTTATACACTGTAACAATAATAAACATACCTAGTAGCTAGCAGTTCATGATGATTTATTATAGCTATTGACTATTTGATCATATTAGTTCGAGATGTAAAATGTTAAGCTACTGCTGGGGATTGTAATGGAAATTTGTTTGAAAATATAGTGAGGATTTATATTTTCTATGTAACTAAATTTTCTATATATATAATGCATAGCAATAGGCAAATATATGCCTAGACTAAGACAAAACCCCACTAAGTGGGTATAAAATCGTGCCAGTAGAAAAGCAGCCTTTTCAAATAAAATGTCTTTTAAAGTAATTACTCTATGAATGTGTGTAATAAAATTTTATATTATGTGTACTGATTTTTTTTTACTCCTACACTTCATACATAATATAGGGGTTGGCTCCCCACAGACAGCAACTGTATAGTGTACAAAGCATTGAGTACCTACGTGTTACTGGCATCTAATGTCCGTCTATTATTGGTTGAGAATTCCTGTTTCACCCTGTACTTAAACTTTTCAAGGGAACACCAGATATGTGTAAGAAAGCTAACTTCAAGGGGTAATGATAACATCATTTACACCAGAATTATGATGTTTTTTAGTGTATGTAAAATATATAAAAAACAAATTGACTTTTCAATACACCTACAACCTTCACAGTACCTTATTTGGTATTCTACAAAAAGTTTGGGTGCTATATACCAAGCCATTTTAGTTGTAAGCTGGCAAGAGAATAATAATAATAATGAGAAGAATTACAAACAGGCCATTTTGAGCAGATTTTCTTTTCCTTGTAAGTCTAACATGAGTGCTTTTATTGTGCCTTAGCAGTCAATAGCAAAGGTTTTAAAGTGTTGTTTGAACTTAATCTTCACTGTTTACAGTGCTTTTTGTCCTAACATTTTATTAGGGTTATGTGCAATTACTTGCGATCCCTATTATGAACCACTATTGTTGTTCATGATAATATTAAGAAAATATATCCGTTACTTATAAAACAAACATTGTAACTTCACTTTCCAAATTGGCATATTTTCTATGTCCAATGTGCAAACCTTAGACCTACAGTAGTTACTACTACGGGAAGGTTTACCAGCAACATCACCAACATAAACTTCTAAATATTTCTCAATCCTTCAGTATCATTCACTTTTTTTTTGTTATATTTTATAAACAAGAAATTGTACTACCCTAACAGATACTCTTTACCCCTAACACACCTTTATTGTTTTGGTAATTTATTTACTTTGCTTCTATACGTGTTACTAAATTCTTATATCCACTGGATTCGCAATTATCATGAAATAGGTTTATAACATACAATAGTGAGAAAACTCAACTCGTGTACTGACATTTTTTTTGTTGCCTTTCAGCACTGTGAAGAAAACTGTTAATTCACCTGATTTTGTATAATGAAACTCAAGTGATCTTTTGTTTTGAAATGAACTATTATACACATGTAAGGTGTCAAAGTTAATTTATAGAATGTTTATTTCCTCTTTTCCATGAATAAATTTTTACTTATACAATATAAGATCTATAAATGAGTTTATAAGTTTTAAGTTTTTTTTAAGTTTTTGATTTTAATTACACAGTTAACAGCAACATGTAGCATGATAGTTACATTCATGTGTGTGTGTGTGTGTGTGTGTGTGTGTGTGTGTATATCATTTTCATGAAGTTGAATGATAAAAATAAAAGATCTACATTTTACAATTCTTCTCTCTCTAAGATATTTTCTTGTTTTGAAACATGAATATCCATGTATAAAATGTAATAGATATACTTTATAGGAAACAAATATTATACAAAAAGTCCTTTTTTGTGTGACATTAATAACATTAATTTAATTAAAACATTTTAAATTCTTTCCCATTTTAATTGTTCTAAAAAGCTACAAGTAGAAGTCAAATATAAAATTTTATGTACAATATTGTCAAACAAACAAACCAAGACCCAGAGCAAAATCAACTTTTTGTTACTAATATCTTGACAAATAATATGGAAAAATTAAATGACCTCTGTGAAAAATTTTTTATCAACACCAGTTCTAGAGTACACTCACAAAATTCTTTATGGCTGTGCTTTATTTTAACAAGTATCAGTTACAGTAGATCATTATTATAATGTCATTTATGTAAAATGTAAAGAAAACTCAAAGTAGTTGATTTACATGATATCTGAGTAATGCTATGGACAAATCTTTTATATTTGTAATAGGTACACTTTTCAATTTAATTAATACATGCACAAAATTATAATACAGTTTACAGTTTAAAATTAAATTGCTTTTGGGAAAAAGACTGTATAACTGTCTGAAAATTGACCAGATTTAGCCCTAATATCCTGAGCAATATTTTACTATTAATTTTTCCTCTTTTTATTATTGGCACACTGCTCATGTCTAATTTTTAACATATGTAAGAGTACAGTGTACATGTACCAAGCAATGCAGACCTACAAATGCTTTCTTACTTGTGCTTTTAGTATTACAGGGCACAAATTAAATTAGAAATACTATCCTGTTCAGTGTTTCAAAAACATTATCTAGATTAAATATACTTCAAGCACAGAATTCTATTAACAAATTGCTAAAAGTGCTGTCCATAAATTTTATTAGAAAACTCTTAAGATTAACCAAAATTTTTTTGCTGGATTTGCAGGGTTCAAAATATGAAGACGATGCTTATTTGTTCCATTATGTATAACCAAGTCATTGAGCTATCCAAAGTTAAGACATGCTGTTACATGCACATATATACATTTTGCATCAAGTTATCTGATTATACAACTATATATAATTGATTTATGTAGTTGTCCAGATTTGGAGGCATGCTTTTACATGCAAATGTATACGTTTTGAATCAGATTATCTGACTACATGTACGTTATGTATCAAGTTATTTGGTGGGCTGTATGATGTACACAACTGCGTGCCATTAGGCAAAGCTGTTTGATGCTGGATGTTTGCCAGTACATTTATAACCACATTCACCAAACCACCAAAGACAAAAACCGGTACAAAATTTGTCACAACAAATAAGAATAAACCTGGAGTGAAAATGTTTGTGCACATTGTCCTAATAATAAAAACCAAAGATGATAATATCCTCATTTAATATACATCTCTTTAAAAACAATAACTAATCATAATAAAAACCAAAGATGATAATATCCTCATTTAATATACATCTCTTTAAAAACCAAAGATGATAATATCCTCATTTAATATACATCTCTTTAAAATTAATAACTGATCATAATAAAAACCAAAGATGATACTATCCTCATTTAATATACATCTCTTTAAAAATAATAACTGATCATAATAAAAACCAAAGATGATAATATCCGCATTTAATATACATCCCTTTAAAAACAATAACTAATCATAATAAAAACCAAAGATGATAATATCCTCATTTAATATACATCTCTTTAAAAACAATAACTAATCATAATAAAAACCAAAGATGATAATATCCTCATTTAATATACATCTCTTTAAAAACAATAACTAATCAATTATTTATTATGCATTTATTCTTTGACAAGAAAAAAAACTAATGAAATGTCTTTTATGATCTTCACTGTATATACTTACAAGAAGTTGTAAAATGTTGAACACATGATAAAGATAATTTTAAACTCCGTGAACTTTCAATGGTAAAAAATTTCTGAAGACATTTTCTCCCTCTTATAAATAACTTTTGTCCTAAAATTTATAAAATTGAATTTATGGATAAATTTGCTATCATGTATGAAACTTCAACTCTTGTATGTACTCTTATCCATGTTAGACAAAATTATATTACATCATAAACAAAAGTTCTTACTAAAACTAGAGCTTTTACATTATTCATTTTAGAATATTTTAGTAAATTATATTAATATTTTTGAATGCTGAAGATTCTACAAGCTTTTGTTGATAAACAAAGACAAACTGTGCAATAAAAATCATTGTTAATTGCACTTGACAGCATATGGAAACTTTGAATACTACTTTGTAATTGCCAATTAACAAAAAAGTCTAATACTTACCAATTTGATAGCTACATGTTCATTATTGTACAGATTCTTACCTGAAAATAAACAATTTTACATTCATATAAAACTTAGGCATTCAATGATATATACATTTTTAAAACTTGGAAGATTAACATAGAAAATGCTCATAAAGTAGAACTGTAGACAGTTAAAAAAAACAATTAAGACAGAGAAAACAAATTTCAAAGATTACAAATATTTTGAGAAATGTTGCTTCAAAATGTCTATCAATTAACAAATGATCAATCAAAATACTGTCATTACTTTATTAAAAGATTATAACTGTTTTTCCTTGCAATACAGTATCACTTTTAATTAGCAAAAGTGGTATGAAAAATTGTCGAAATAAATGGCTTTTACTTATATTTCTAAATGGTATAAATATATATACTATGATGTTGTTGGGCTTAGGATTCTTCTACAGTAGGTATCTGTGACTTGTTAGTGACAAATTCAATGATGAATAAACAGCAGAAACACTTTACTTGTTTTCAAATAATATTCGGAACAAGTTAAATGTATGTACAACAAATCTTCACACTATAGATTACAGACATATCATAAATACTATTTATATATAGTTTATTCTTGTAAAAAGTCCACTTATGCCTATTCAATTCCTTTAGAATTTCAGTTGACAAGTTGAATTATCTTCTCTATATTACAGTCATACTACTATTCTGTATGATTCACTTACAGTTGTGGTGCAAGTTACCATAATTCATTTGGTCTTCTTTCTTCTCATTCAATTACTTTAGATTCACACTTTGACGGAATAAAATTATCCTTCTTAACTTTTTTATACTGTTAGTTGACATATTAAACGTTAGGCCTATGTCCATCGTTAGGCCTATCATATCTATGGTACTTAACTTCATACAGCTATATTCTCTTTTGCTATTATCTGTATATTGTTGTCTGTCTGCTGCTTCCCGCTCATCTCACACTATTTATACCTTTTTTACATAGTCGTCTGACCACTTTCTATATTCTCGACACCAATTAGTTATTAACAAAACCTTCTACAATCGTCTGCTTTTAACTCTTATTATAACAAAACTTAAATATAATAAAATATTCACTCACAAATTAAATTAATCACCAGTATTTAAAACAAACAATCTTTTTGTATCATGGCAATATTACTTGCCACCAGTTACTTCAAAAATTTCATAAATAAAAAGTGTTATGTATAGTTACATTTATTAACAAAAATATAATTTTTTTCAAAATTAGTCCAAAAATAGGAAAACATCTATTCAATAATTAGGACTATTCTTAAATAACATAAAAATATTCAACTCTTAACTACTTCCCACAAAGACATTAACAAAACATGATATTTATTTACAAGTACTAGAGGAAATAACTGACTAACTACCGAAATTCTACCTGTAGAAAGTGACCATAAAATACCACCTTTTACATATTTATCTTTTAAGTTAGTATTTACTGGAAACCTACAAATAATGTCACTTTTAAATGCTGACTTACATTACAGCTTATGTTGTGATGGTATAAAAATAAGTGGATTCATTCGCATGCTACAGATAAAGCTCTTTAGCAATATTAAAATGGAGTGCACGGTAAAAAGAAAGGCTTAAATATCACCTAACAGACTGGTTAAACTGTAACTGACAACACCATTGCCAAAAATGTAAAATAATTAAATATTCAAGAAAATTCAATCATAATAATTTTGATATGTACAGATTCTTAAACAAGGTATTACAGAGTATTTACAATCATTACACATTAAATACAACTGAAAATAATAATTTTTTTATCCGTCAAAATGTTACACCACTACAACATATTCATGTATCTTTGAGCATTAATGGTTTCAGCAAATATTGTACAATAACACAAGTAAGCACAGTATTATATAACAATACAATAGGCAGACTCTAATATTAATACTAGAAAAATTACACAACACTTAAATGATTTTTACTCTAACTACATAAATCATCTTAAAAATAAAGATTTATAACTGCTGCATCAAGTATTTACCTAGTCTATTCAAATAAACAGACATTACTTAAGAACTTTGTTAAGTTGTTGCTTGCATTGGTAAGTATAATAGCTTTTTATAATAGAACTCCTCACAAAAACTATGACAGTTGTACATTAAATATTCCAAGCAGCTTATTTTTACTTGACCAAAAATTTGTTCATTTTAATTAGCATGTTTTTTCAACAGATATAAACAATATAAATGGAAGGCAACTTCAATCCACAGATTGTTTATTTAAATGTTTTTAGAATAAATTTTTAAACATAATTTATAACAATTACCGTAAACCTCTTAACATCTAAACCTAGAAATTTAGATTTTCTTGACACTACTACACTGTATGTATATATTTTATACCCACCATAAATTACTCCTTAATGAAAAAAAAAGAAGTTTAAAATTACAGACAGCTCACAGCCAACACTTAATTTCAAAATCTTTAATAGAACAAAACAGTTTAATTTTGAAATAAATTTTCCACCATAATGTGTACTCTTCACATCTCATAAGATATTAGGGTTTGTTCAACATGTGGGTTCATCAACAGGACTCAAAAACTTACTTATTTAATATCAAAATACAGATTCTTCTGGTAATCACTTGTTCATGTGCATGGTAAATACAGCACACCACTAGTAACAATTTATGGAATATCATAAAATGGGGCAACTAGGGACAAATTTGAACCAACAGCAACACATCCACCACTCTCAATTCTTAAGCTATGGCTTGAGGACAGAGTTCTCTATCTGATTTCACAACTGTGGATGAAATACCCTCGGGTAACTTTGAAATCTGAGGGCAAAGAACACCTTTCTGATTGACGAGTGAAGAGCATTTCTGATGAAAAGCTGGATTTAAATGTTCCAGTTGCTGACTATAGATCTCTGCATTGATAGTTCACTGTGGATTGAAGAGTTTGAAATGAATAACTCCTTTGATGTCCCACCAAATGTAAAGCATCACTTTCTGCGGATGGAGTCCAGGTTTTGTGGTCGGAAGTGGTTTTTGTCTAGGACTAAGCCATTGTTTTTGGCATTTAATATTCACATAGAGAATCCATTTTTCATCACCAGTGACAATTCTGTTCAAATATGGTTCACACACACATTATGTGCCAGAAGAGAAATGAAGCAACGTTTATACCTTGGAAACGATGATCATCTGAGAGTTTGTGAGGCACCCAAACACCTTCTTTATGGTTTTTGTTTACCATATTCCTTAGATGCATACAATTTCAAGGCCATTTCACAAGTGTATTGTCTTGGGTTAGACTCAACAAGCATCTTCAGACCATCAATATCAATTCCATCATGTCAACCTCTCCCATCACAGTTTTTAAGGCTAAAGTTACCTGAACAAACTTTGCTGAACCATCATTGACACTATGAATGTTCAAAACATTTCCATAAACTTCTTTGATATTCTTTGTGGCTACAGAGGCATTGTTTCACTTCTTGTATTCAAACAGCATTACATGTTGAATGTGTGTCTCATCGTGTGTGATCACTATAAGGGATTAGAGTATACTAAACTTTACACATTATATAGGCTACACTAACATGATGTTTAGGTGGTTCATTTAACTATTATACATGATATACATTTTTTGGGGAGGTGGTTAATGAAAGTGTTCCAAAATGCAACATTAATTTCTTGATGATCTAATAATTATATACATGTATATTATTCACTTATATCTGTATTTGTAAGTGTAAAGATTGTAGAAAAGTCATGCCCATACCACAGTGTGCACCAAAGAATTTGGCCAATAGGTGTTCCTCAGAAACAAACATTTGAAAAAACCTGAATTCTAATAAACAGCAAGCTTTGCCAAACAGTATTACCTCTTAGAAGTAAAACGATCACCTCCAGGTTGTACTAAGCATTACAACTGTAAATATATATACCATTACTTCTAAGTTTCTTAAACTTTAAATTGTTATATCCCTCTATTTCTTTTTAGAATTGAGAAATAAAGCTGAACCAAGCAGAAATTTATTTTCTATTAGTTTACTATACTTAAAACATGCTAAGTAAAATAAATACTACAAAGTACAGTTGCAGATAGAGCTGGGAAAGTAACTCTATTACTTATGAGCATTGATTATATAAATTGTTAGGAAAATAAACAACTAATTGAGATTAGCATTTCCAATTGTACAATGTTTTTAATTATTCCAGCTAGCCAAGTAATCATAATATTGTCATTATGGTATCTCATTATTATTTTAAATTAATCAAAGGATGTACAGATTAATTAATTAGTGTCATGATTCACAAAAATTATCAACTGATCAAAATTAGTGTTTCCAATTATTGATATTTTCGATTATTAAACTATCCAAGTCTCACGTGAGAATAACTGATTAGCTAATTCCATTAATTGCCTAGCTTTACGTGTATGTATGCTAATGAATATTAATACGTGCACAGACATATAATTTCTGGGATATCGTTTAACATTTATTTGTAGGTATAATGTATGTATGTATGTATTTCAATATTAACATATTTGGCTAATTTAAGTTTAGATATTTTAAACAACTGGTTGAATGTATATCTAGCTAAAAAAAAAACTTGTTCATATCAGTTGTATATCTACATGTTGGGCATAACAGTTCATAATATGATGAACGGTCTTCTAGTATAGTTTATTACATTGTATCCAAGGCCCATCAGGGCAGGGGTCTCCTGGTGCAAAAGCATCAAGGACTAGGGTCAGGAGGAAGGGGGGATGAAGAGGAAATGGAACAAAAGAATGTGAGAGAAATACAGAAAGTTTAGTAATGGTAAAAGGGATTAAAGATGACGTTAATGATGGGATAGGTGTGTGGGTGTGGTGGGTTGGTAAAGGGGCAAAGGTAAGAACAGTAAGATTAAATTTAGAAAAGTAAACTTTGAAAGAGAGAAAAATTATGGCCAATAGGGGGTTCTAGTAGTTGGGGGCACCAGGTCTAGGAATTTCTCTGAGGGTCACTGGTTGTACCTACATATGGATACACAGGACTAAGCTTA